CTTGTCAAGACTGCTGAGCTGAGGCCACAGGTAATATGTGGATTCTGATGCCTGGGCTGAACGAATCCAACAACTTCGGTTTCTGTCCCTGCTCCCGCTGTTGTAATCAGCGGCCATGCGAAACAGAGTCCATTCGGGTGAAGGGTCATGGAAACAGTCATCCGGGCAGTGCAGACTTTCTTTCCTCCAGCTAGCTGACCAGCAGAACACTCACCGCTCACAAACATGGCCGTCCTTCCATTGACCACTGTATTGGCGACCGTCTTGCCACAAATAGCAGCCCTCTCCGTGCTTCTTGTCCGCTGCCTACAGAAGAGCAGGAGGATCAAGCCAAACATGATGAGTCTTGTGCACAAAGCACAGAGTTGCCCATTCCCTCGTCTGAGGCCGATATATGCGGTCCAAAGCGAGCATCACGTCTTTGTGATTTCTCACGGCAGCGTCGACTCGAGCGCTTACTACCACCGGCTGCCAGCCAAGAGTCGTAGGAGCCATGATATGCACGGCCATCTGGCCAAAACATGTCGCCCATACCTGAGGTAGCCGAAGCAATTATGCAACTGCGGGAAAGGCGAGCGTGCATATCATATGCTCGATCTCTCTCTGTCTCTCTCTCTCTCTCTCTCTCTCTCTCTCTCTCTCACTATCTGCAGTTTGGGACCACACGATGTCAAGGGATTGAAGGTCGCACTCTCGTGGCGTTGAGCGGTCTGTTCCGACTTCCTGCTTGCATCCTGCTTCTCTTCGTGTTACAATAAGACACCTAGTGACCTATTTGCTAATATGTAAAGCTTCGTTGCCATGGCAGCAGTTGTGCTGCCACTGTCCGGTGTAGGTCCGTCCATCTGCCCACTGGTAATGGCCGACGCCGTGTATTTCGTCCTCTCGGCCCACGGTCGAGGAAAATGCTCTAGGTCGCAGAGGTATGCACACTGTATGCACACTTCCATCCCGGAAACCTACAAACCCTGAATGGCGTGCCCTCCCGCGAACGGCCCCTGCACCTCTTCAAACGTCCCTGTGTAGGAGGATCCGGCCGCCCAGGTAAAAGTGCCTTTGGCGCAACGAAGGGGATCGGCAATGTGGCTGCAGCGTTCCCTGAAGCTTTGTGAGGCAAGATCATTTCTGTCTTTCCTGGAGGGAGCCCATAATAAAAGTGTACGGAGGGGTGTGCATTCTATAAATGTTGGACGGGAAGCTCGCCCGCTGCTCGACCAATTTAGCCTAATCGGGAACTCCGAGAACTGACCTTCCATCCGATTGAACGGGTCAATGTCCAGCTGACAGGAAACAGAGCTTATAAGTCAAGCGGATGGAAATTCTTTGCACATGCAACGTTCTACTATCTTCTACCGAGTTCTATTTTCCAGCTTTGGGTCGGTCTCACGACAGAGTTTGCTGTCTCTGCATGTCCCCACCCAGCCTTGCCCATGCTTGAAATTGTGGGCGTAAGACCTCGGTGTGCCGGCAAGCTGTGGTTGCACGGAAGAACCCTGGAGATGGAAGTCTGGAATAGCTTTCCAGCCATGCCGCCCCTCGTAGTGGGAGCCATCCATCCATTGTTCAACGCCTCGAGACAGCAGTGCTACCAGGTGTGTGAAGCTTTGCCGCTGGCTGTTTGCCCTCTTCTCGATTGCACCGCAAGCTTCCCAATAACTTTCAGTCACGAAACACCTGCACTGGGTCCATTAGATGCCTCCTGCCCCAACTGCAGGAGGTCAGTCTAAAGTGGCTGGCCATGCACACAAGGCCAGTTTGGTCCTGTCGGTCCAAATACTTCAGCGAAACGTTCCACATCCAAGGTACGCAGATGTCTGCTTCATAACCCAGGAGGCTTGCTGGTAATCCATAAAGTGGAGCTATGACTGAAAGCAAGGTGCCGTAGCCGTGTTGAAGGTCAGCTTCCCACTGTCCCTCGTAGCCTGGGAATTCTGCTTGGAGAAATGAAGGATACCCCAAGTCGAATGCAGCGGGCTTCTGCCTGACACTCCAAACACTTCTTCATCGCCATTCTGCTCAATGCAATCTGAGCCTGAACTCTGGGCCCGAAAAGATTAGACTCTTGTCCTTCAACCCCCCGGTGTGCCGGCAGGGAGCTTCGTCCGGACTTCTGGACAAGACGGCCAAAGCCGTGGGCCTGGCAGAAACGCAGTTTACTCTACAGGGCAATGGCCAAATCTGAACGACCCATCGAATGCACGAATACGCTTGAATACGCTGTCACCCTCCAGTCCAGGGCATGGTGTAGTAGTGACAGACCTGCCCATGCATCGCCTGGCAACCTTGCCAAGAGGCCAGCACCTGAATTTATGTACGGCCTGGGTCTGCTCAAACAGCCGAAAGACTTGCCCGTCGAGGGCATTCGAAGCTTTGCGTACCGAGATCGTGCAACACAGACACAAAGCAGCACAAGAGTCCGTGATGGAGGCTCCCAGGCAACTACCGGTGTCAGCTTCTGCAACCTAGAGCCTCAATACAGAAAGTTCCCTCCCTGCCTTGTCTTGGAGCCAATCCCCGTCGTAGACATCGCCAGAGGCGGTTTCTAAACGGCCACTTCCATGCCTTCAAATGCAGACAACATGTGGGGCCTGGTTGCTGACAAGGTCGCAAGTCGTTCAGCTGAGCTGCGCCATGTCGTTCTGAAACCTCATCTCGGGCAACAACATCGCGAGCTGTAAGGATGTGACCTACACGCTGTAATGATTTTCGTGGTTTAGATGCTATCGCCGAACTCCGTCTTACTCGCTGGAAGAACCGTCGCAGCAAGAGGGCGATGCAGTCAAGCAAAAACCGTGACAGCTGCAAAACAGCTCAGCCGACTGATATCCTGCCAGCTCGCTGCCCCTCGTAGCGGTTGCCATCCGGCCGAACCAGGATACCCACACCTGCGTCCGGAGGGAGGTGCGGGCATTTGAAGTTTAGGATTCACATCGGAGTCTCGAATTGCTTAAGCAAAAGATTTGGGGCATTTCACAGATAGCCCTCAAGCTGGAGAAACAATTGTTTGCCTTACGGCGGTTGATTCTTCGCAGGCTTGCGGCCTGTTCAGAAATATTGTTGCGGATGCCATGCTCGAGGTTCTATACACTCTACGCAAGCAGGTGTGGAGATTGCCGTCCATGCCCAGCCCACGCTAACTGTTGAAAACATCGCATTCACCTTTATTCTGCCGGGTCGGAGGCGAAACATGTTGGGCGGAACAGGCTGTGGTCGCAGGGCTACCGCGCGACCGAGGATGCGCTGATATGCGCTGTTTCTCGTAGCTTTAGTGTTACACTCTCGTGAGTCAAGACTGAATGCTTGCTCGATGCGTTTGAACCGCACCTTCCCGAATGTCGCCCTTCCACTGGCCGGTGTACTGGAGACCTGGCATCATGAGGCACAAGTGTGGGACCGGCAAAGAGCCTCGTTCTAGCGACTCGGGGCAACTAACTCGAAATAGTTACTGACATTACTAATTACTAACATGTGTGCAACTTCGTGCGCATGGGAGCTTGTGAAAACTCCATGGTGACCCATCGTGATCTTCTGTTCGGAGCTCGCGCTGTTGCCGACCCCTTCATTTTCTCGGCACAAAAGCTCTCCCTGGCTCTCTCAAAGTGACGACCTGGCCTCCCTCCAGGATCACGGTGACACCGTCAGATCGGGAGAGTCCTGGCAATCTGTTAACGCGACAGATTGAAGCCACACGGAGCCTAGGCACCGAGAACAAGAGATGCTGCATATGCAGCTGGCAGCCTTCTGATCCTTCTGATGCGAGGATGGACGGGTTTACCGGCGACGACCTGCTAGCCATAACCGGGTGAGCCCTCGACAGCCGTGGACCAGGCAAACTGGCAGGTTGACCAAGGCCGATGCTCCCTGCCGGCGAGCACCTCTGTCAGCTTCGGTCCCGTGATGGTCTCCTTGCATGACTTGTACAGGAAACATCGGCAACAACACCGTGGCGTGGATGTTGATGATGATGCTCGTGGTGGTTTTGCCCGCTGTCGGCATGGTGGTAAGGTCGTAGCGGTGATTGCGCGGAACCAGGGCATATAGTCGTAAACCAATTATTATAACTATGAATGTTTTTGTTTTGATTCTTACTACTGTTATTGGTAGTAGTGGCAGTGGCAGTAGCACTGGCGGTCAGGAGCAGGAGAAGTAGCAGTTGCTGTAGCAGCAGCAGTCGTAGTAGTGGTAGTGGTGGTGTGGAGCAGCAGTGGTAGTAGACGTCGTCGTCGCGGTAGTTATAATACTAGCCGGAGCAGGAGCCGGAGTCATCGTACTAGTCGTCACACCACACCTCGACTGGGAGCTGGAGCGGCCCTTATCTCCCAAAACATCTAGAACTGATCACCTGTTCACCAAACGTCCGTCCTGTGTGTGCAAGCAGACGCATCGGTTGCCCATTGCTCACACAAGGTGTTCTTCATAAAGTGCTACAGCTGCTGAGGCGTGGTGCTTGTCGGCCATATGCTCAATAGACAAAGTCGGTGACAGCCACCTGTGGCTATGATCCATGGATGCACTAGGATGGGAGCCGGCAGGTGGGTCTCTGCAATTTGACTCTAAGACAGGAAGATGCCCTCATGTCTGCCGCGGCTCCACAAGGAGAATGAAAAAGCAGGACGGCAATAAATACCTCTATTCGTGCTGGATCTTTGAACACAGCGCTGAGTCTCCGATATCTGGACGGACAAACTAACACTTAAGACTGGGTGTGTGTCCAATGCTGCATCATGAATGCCACATGGCTGGGCACTGAAAGACGCTCGCGAATAAGCAAAGAACGGCAATGATGCATGCAAAAACTGCCAGCGCAGAGCTCCAACAGAGAAAGAGCCAGATCATGCAATTGGGGCGGCATCGCCACAGAACGCAAAAGCCCCGAAAGTCCAAGAGCTATCGCCACCATGTCTTCACAGGGCCCTTGACCCGAACATCCAAGCCAAGCCAAGGCTCGCTCTAGGATCTTACTTCCCGATACAATGCAACTCACACCATCGTTTATTCGCTCACGCCTTCTTTGCGAGCAGCTTCTGGGTCAAGACACGCTGCATTAACTTCAAAAACTTGCTTAGTGAACGAATCCGCCGCAGTGTCGAGCTAGGATCGCACAAAAATTCAGACCTCTTCGCAGCAGAAAAGGTCGAAATAGCAGCATGGCTCGCTAACACTGGCCACCGCTGCTCTTCTGAGCTTACACCCGACAGCTGCACATCGGCCACTGTCTGCATTGAGACAGTTGTCATGTCGGCGACCGTCCTTGAGGCAAGGTCTCCCGCTGCCCAAATGCCCGTCGATCTCTGGAGTTCGCCGCACGCGACAAACAGATCTTCCATGAGCTTGATTTCCCGCGCTAAAGCTTCTGATCCTTGTGTCTCCTCTAGGTCACCGCATTCCAAAACTTCCTGTACAATGGGAAGAACACGACCGTTATCGTCAGGCCCACAGACCCGGTCGATGATACGCAACATCGCAACACCACGAAGTGTTACCTTGACAACATTGTTCTCCTGCTGTGTCACCGAAAGCAGTTCTGCTCCAACGCACCCTCTCGGCAAATAGTCGGCCTTTGGTATGTTGACAGCACATCCGACAAAGCCGCCATGCTCCCGCTCAGCATGAAGGACAGCCGAATGCTGCAAGGATCCACGCTGAAACGAGAAGTCGCTCTTGAAACCCACATCGGGAACCGAATCTATGGGAACCCGCATGACAGCCAGGGTCCGAAAGGGGGTCCCATCGAGCTCTTCTCTGACTATGTCGTTATAGCGATTTCTCATCATCCTCGGTCAACCAGGTACGAAGACTGGGACTGCATAGCAGAAGATCCTGAAACCTAAACCCAACAGCTTCGTGGCAGAAGACTCCTACGGTGCTGTGTAGTGTCACATCACAGCGGGGCTGCGAAGGCTCAAGGGACCCTGCGCTGGTGCTGTTGCTCCACACCTTCGTTTTCGGTACAATATACCTCCTTTTTCTGACCGTCTGTAAACCATTTCACTTAGCATGAATATACCTAGCCTATATGTACAACCTGACGACCTCCAAACGACTGCTTCTGCGACTGAACTAAGCTGAGCTGCTCATCGAAGTTGGCAGGTATCTGCTCAGGCAACGCCCTCCAAATCTCAACGCCTCCAGATGCCCCAGAGACGGAACACATCCTCAGGCTGCGAGGGCTCCTGCGGGCGATGCTGCAAGGAGTGGTGCTTGGGGATCTTCCCCGAGTCACGGATGCTGATCAGGGAGATTTGGCAAGCAGGCTGACTGAAAAAGCTCTCTCTGTCTGGCTGTCTGTCTCTCTCTCTCTCTCTCTCTCTCTCTTGTTTGCTTGCTGCAGGTCAAGGTCCAGCGAGCTGGACCCGTGCCGTGGCGCCCCCCAGCCTCTTTAGGTTCAGAGAGAGTAGAGGCTTTGGGGTCCCATGGATTGGTCTTCAAACTTCAATCCAGTGGCTTGTGCGACAGGCGGTTTCGTTTGCTGTGAACCCCTCGACCCTGAACTTTATCGCGCTTCCCGGCCTTGTCACCGCGCCCACTACGGCTCAAGTCCTTAGTCCCTGCAGCAACCGGTTTCCCCCAACTCGTAAAAAGTGGCGGCCCGTCTCACCAAGAGAACAACACATAGCACAACTGAGGCACGCACTGTGGTTGAACGGAAGTCCCCAAACAAATTCAGAAGGGCTCTCTCTTTGTTTCTCTCTAGTTTGCGCCCCTCTTTTCCCCACGGATGGACTCTAATTTCCTATCTTCTTCGCCACGGTCAGTGAGAAGGGACAGGAAGGGAACCCCCACCCCTGCCTCTATCTTTCTCTCTCTCTCTTGCGAGTGCAGCTTCTCCCTGCGCCAGACCTGCATGGGTTTCGCCTGACACACACACACACACACACGCTCAGTTATTGTGGCTGCAAGACACATGAGACTGAGCCACGTATGCTGGAGCTCAATGCAGGTCTTGATTGCATGCGCGAGTGCGTGCATATGTATGCATGTGTACATACATATATATATATACACACACATGAATTTACATACACACAGACGTATACACATACTCATACATGATCGCATACACACACACACACACCTACACACATACATACATACATACATGCATCATGCACACAAACACACATGCGTGCATATATACTGGCATGCATAAATACATACATACATACATACATACACAGGTACACGCATGCATGCATGCATGCATGTGTATATATATATATATATACACATCACAGCCATAAGGATGTGCCCATGTGATCCCATGTGAGCGTTTTCTGTCTTGTTTCACGTTCAATTAGGTGCCACTTCGGCCGCGTCCGACTCGTGACACAGTGTCTGGAACAGCGAACAGCTAATAGCTAATAATAATAACAATCATAATAATAATAACAGTAATAATAATAATAATAGTAATAATAATAATAGTAATAATAATAATAATATATATATATATATATATACACATAAGTTTTACACACACATATAAATACATATGTGTGTATATATATATATATATATATATATGTATGAATATATTACATATATTATATACTGATTGATTGTGCGTGTACCTGTGCGTGTGCGTGTGTCGTTGCCGATCAAGACTTGATGAGGTGGTGATAGAGGTAGAGGTGATCAATTTCAAGTTTGGTCTGATGCGGCTTTCAGCCAAGTCCTGGTACGCGAGAAGCGTGTGGACAGCCAAATCCCCAAAGGGCAAACCACACCAAAGCATGACCTCGGCTCTTGACTCTTCTCGAAAAAACTGCAAAAGACTCGGACATTGCAGGCCCTGCGCAATGAAATCTGACATTCCGGACTTGCTCAATGCATGCAGCACACCGAAGGAGCGCGCTCTCACCTCTCGTCCGCGAGGGCAACGGCCCCAGCGGTGCAGTTGGCAAGCCAGTCGAACCAGGACTGTGAGGAAGAATTGTTGCTGGTGCGCTTGGTTTCGACAACATGGCAGCTGCGGGCGTAGGATGGGGCAGGGCTCGTATTATGTTGGAACTGTAACTTCTCGATAAAACAGGCTTCTGGACTAGAATGCACGTTAGCAACATGAAGTCAATGGAAAGTCACACCTCAGTGTCATTCGCAATCCCCTTTGAGAACTTTTTTGAGCCACCGCGGCACCCTGAGCAATCGGGGCCTCAGCTTTGAAGGTCGTCGAGCATGCCATTACTAACATCGACTGCCTCACAACTTAGAAACTACACACAACAAGGTCGCAAAGATGTGTCCGATTCTATGCCATCATGGCCATCGTCATGCAAACACCGAGGACACAGTTCTGAACGATCATGGAATCTTTTATCCTGGCGCCGGCACAGCGCTGGTCCCTAATCGGAAACCCTCACGAAACTGATTCTGGCACTGTCGAACGGCCGATGCTCCACATCTGCTGCAGATTTTCCTGCAGCCTTTGTGCGCGGATCCTTCAGAATTTCCAGAAGCCCAGAAAATAGGTGATGACCGCAAGGGGGAAGGCCAGCACGACCACCTGCGAGATGTCGGCACCAAAAAGGCAGAAGATTGATGCAGAGCTCAAGATTCCAGCACCATCAGCACAAAAACGTCGGCATACGTCGAAACATACGCTGTTAGCAGTCAACATGATGGCAAAGCAGTGGCATCATAGAAGGTTTGGGTTGCTCCTCTAAGTTCTTGGTTCCAGCAGTCTGTGCCAATACCTCAACAACACTTAGAACTTGCTTCAACGAGTTTGGCTCGCGCTGGATCAATTGCAAGGCTGAAGTGGTCCCGGTCTTGCTAGCGCCCGAAGCAACATCTGAAGGCCGAATGCTTCATTTCGCTGTCTACAGTAGCCAAGCCACTTGGATGATGGCAAGCTGCCATTGCGCAATCCCGACTTCCATGAGAAAATCATCAAGTTGCTCCTGGTGTGCTGTCGCTTTAGGACGGCTGAGGCTTCCCTTTGCAGCTTCCGGATCAGCTACGCAATTGGGGTCCTTGTCTCCGGAGACGAAACTCGAAATCAATTCTTGGAAAAGAATTGTATAACCTTAGCGGAAGCAATTGCATTAATGGCTTCGTCTCTGCGCCAGTCAAACTTTGCTAACCCACAGCTGCACTCGGGTAACTGGTTCCGAAGTCGCCCACTCGCAAGCCAACCTGCACCCGCAGGGATGCCCCTTTGCAACATGTGAGTGCGCATGGCAGAACTCCATGTCATGCAGCGGTACACTGGATGGGTACCTGCAGGCATGGCGTTTGACTTCTAAGCGCAACAGACCGCCAACACCTCCGTTTACGCCAATGCCAATGACACAGAAACAGCAAGACAACGCAAAAGCCCATGCGGTCGGGCCTTGAATCGTTCCTCCTCGCGGCTTGGGCTCAGAACGATTTGCTGTCTGACCAAACCTCTCCCGACACCTTCTTCCAAAAACCAACCTCTGATAACACTCCTTGGTCTTCGCAGCTTTCATCTCGCTTTGCCAATCCGGCATTTCTTCCTTCTCGGCAGACAGATATCCTTACTTGTTGAAGTGGCAACTCTGCTCCCATTGATGCTCAGTTTGTCCAAGTGTTCCCTCTTTTGAAGATTTTTTCAGACAGGCGGCCCAATAAATCACAAAAAGAATCACGACGTCATACGGAAGCCTGGAAAATCCTGAAGCCCAGGTGCGCTCTCGGAACTCGCGATCTTCGTCTGACTCGTTAGGGTCCTTAGCACATCGGCGGCTGCATGCTTTATGCTCCACGCTGGCGTAATGAAGCAGGCCGCCGCATCTGCTTTCCTCATCATGACATTCAACTACTCATGGACATGCATGCTGCAGCTAGGTTTCGATAACATCGACGTCGACTTCTTCCACAGGAGCTGGGGGCTCAGGGGCTGGAGCTGGTGCCTTCTTTTCGGCCACCTTCTTGTTTGAAGCCTCGGGATGGCGGTGTGGCAGGTCTGCCTCCTCACCTCCAAATTTGCGTGGCAGGTTGGTTTTGCAAAACATCCACATGACCTGCTCATGTTGCTTTCCAGAAGGTAACGCACTGATGAGACCTGCCACGAGCTTGCTGAGTCTGCAATGCGCTGAGTTGAGGACTGACTATGAAGCAAGAGCCAAGACTCACAAAGGGTGTCATCTCCGGCCCGAAGGCTTAAATAAAGCACATTCAACCAGCACACGAAAACACTACACCGCACAAGCAGCCACAGCCGAATACGAACGACGACACGAAAATGTAAAGCGGCACGATGAAATTGACTGCCAGCATCTGCGAGCTGTGGCGCAGCGGTGGGAAAGCGTCGCCAGGAAGCACACGAACGTTAAACGGTCGTCGGTCAAACTACGGTGAAAACTCGGTGCCACGAAAACATAGAACGCGAAACGCGCAAGTAACACTGCAGTGACCAGTGATAAGAGCGCCATGGGCGCCCCAGTAAGAACAGCCCTGTCACCACTGCCGTGCCAAGTGACCGAGTGCCGCCACAAAGAAGTAGACGGGAAACGAAGTGTGGGGATTCCATTGCGTAAAAATCGTTGCCATAAGCAATGCGGTGAGAAAGCGCCACAACAAAGTCGGCCGCGAACCGTGCAGACAAGAGAATGCGCCATGAAGTCATGAAGAATCTGATGACCGCAGTGGGACCTAACGGGCCATGGGCAAACCCCAAAGCTGGCTCGCCAGACAAGCCGGCACCGGCCGGCACGCACGAGCATGCCCGCGGCGGCTGCCAGCCACGAGCGCCGGAGCGTTTTGTCAAATGTGGATGGTCTGGTGCGGGGTTGAATTTTGTAGCCTGATCGCAGATCCGCCAACTGCCAACGATGCTGTGACCACAGAAGCTGAAGGCTTCGAGAGATCGAGGCAGTGCGAGTAGCCTCTGTCTCTGCTTGCATTCGTGTTACTTAGACTTCTCATGGTTCAGAGTGTCTTTGGCTGCACCTCAACCGCTATCAACGTTAGACACCAACAGTGGGACTAGTCCCACGTTCTGCGACTGCGCAAGCAAACAGCGGACAAATGAACGCTGACCCTACAGTAGCCAATGCAAACAACAACTTCTGAAGACCGGCTTCCCTAGCATGACGCATCAAAAAAGGAACCTGACACGAACAGTTCATCCATGACGAACTGTGGTATTGCGCTACATGCGAACGTCTGTTAGCCACTTGGATACAATTGCTTCCGTTGCCCTTCTCGGCGGGACGCCCTCTTCTTCTTTTTGTTCTTGTTGCGCTTCGGGGCTTGCCCAGCATCTTTGGCACTCTGGAAGCCCTGCGCGTTCCAATGTGTCGCAGCAGTGCCGGACTTGCAAAAACATGTCATTCGCGCCTTAGCTGCCTGACGTTTGATGTTGAGTTGCGTAGCTCGCCCTGGCAGCGCAAACGACTCATTTATTGATCGGCAACACAGTGCTATAAGTCTACAAGCCATGCTGCTCCTGTTACAATACTGTACTCGTAACCGCCGGCCTTCAAATGGAGGAGCTGAGCGGATGTTCGCACCAGCACCTTCGAAATGCATGTCTGTTCTTGAATCCTGCCTGCACCCATGCCAGCATGATGCCTGCAATGCTTCCTTGGCTCCAACATCGGCCAAACCAATCACAGCTCCATGCCACTGCGCACGCAAGAAAGACCTCACATCACGAAACGGAGCACATGACTCGTGCTGAAAACCTCAGCATCGACGTTGCGATGGCTATGAACGAAACTTAAACTTGGGCTTGTGCTGCGCTGAGGTAGCTTTGGCGGCCTCTGGACCGCATCGTCCGGCCTAGGTGAAACACAGTGACCGCCATTACCAGTGCAAGATTGACGGAAGGAAGGCAGTCAAACGACAAGCTGAGAGGACTGCATGCGGCGCCCAGGCGCGATGAGCAAACGTGGCTGACCACACACTTTACAAGCCGAAAGACGAAGCAGTGGCAATGGTGCTTGTAATGACCATAACTTATTGACCAGAAGCACCGCCACGATGCAAGTAAACCCGTCAAGCGTTCCGTGTCATTCAGAAACAATTTGATGTATATTACATATGACTATGGGCCCTCAGCAACACACCCGTCCACAAACATGCCGGCTGAATAAAAGCCGATGATAGACTGTCGGCGTGGTTCTTGCGCGCCCTATCACGCACTCATGATTCTCAAGTGTGTGCTTTTCGCATTTTGCTTTCCTTCCGTGCCGCACAACGGCATGCAGGTGATCCTTCGGTGCAGGACTTGTTGCAATCTCTCGTCAAGAAATATCATGGAAAACCGTATCGCCTAGCGAAACCTTTTCTAGCTCAAACAAACGGAAAAGCGAACGAGCGAAAACGAGCAAAAAAAAAAAAACACACACTCTCTCTCTCTCTTCTTCTTCTTCCGCCGGGCATGAGGGGTTGGTTAGACCCCCCGGCCACTAGGGCCCCCCCATATTTTGTGGGGACTTTGGAGGAGTGTGAGAATGTTGTTCGTTATTTCCTGGGTTGATCACATCTCTCAAGCCGGGATAAAGCATCATGATGTTATCGTACGAATAACGGAGCAATTCGATCCCCCGGGTACCCGGATATTTCTAAAGTTCGGTGAAGGTCGGTTGAGGTTTCGCCAGTGACACATGCACCCTAGAAAGCCTAACTATACAGGATACAACATGCTTTGGCTCACCGACTCTCACACAAATCTTTGCTCGAGGTTCTTTGGCAACTGCGCACCCGTGTTCATGCCGAGCGTCTCCTGTTGTATTGATGCATACTTTTCCGAATTTGTGATGACCGGGAGCAACGGGTAGCAGTGAAGCATGGCAGCTCAACGATTTGACAACTTCAGCTCATGTTGTTCCTTTGACGGCATTCTCTTCGAGTTTGGTTGAACCTCGTCGTTACGGGTGCGCATCTCTCTCTCTCTCTCTCCCTCCGGAAACACCGCAGGGTAGGATTCCAGCAAGCTGTGGCTGCGGATGGGCGGTCTAAGGATAGGTGTCAAGAGTGGGGTTGTCCGTTCCGAACATTGAGTGTAGAACGAGATTGGGAGTTAGCAGAAATTTGAAAAATTGAGGGTGAATGAATTGAACATGGCCGTTTCAATAATACGTTCACCGAGTATCGTATCGAACCGCCCGCTCCCGTATCGAACCGAACCGAAGCATTTGGGACCGCACCAAACCGAACCCTCCCCCAACCTCCCACCACCTGCCCACCTCCCACCTCCCACCTCCCTCCGCTCCTCCCTCCTCCCTCCTCCCTCCTCCCTCCTCCCTCCTCCCTCCTCCCACCTCCCACCTCCCACCTCCCACCTCCCACCTCCCACCTCCCACCTCCCACCCACCTCCCCTCCCACCTCCCACCCCGGGCCGTGAGTGTTGGTGTGGTTCTGCAATGGCACCTGCCAGCAATCCTCCAGCGCCACCTTTCTAGCAGGCACACATTTTTGCAACCACCTACAGTTGATTCAACAGTGGGCTCCACCCCCTCAAGCCACCCTGACACGAGCTGGAGGGTGGCGGAGACTGGTGGTCGGATGGAGTGGCAAGCCGCTTATTCTGTGGGACGAGCTCTTGCCAAATCAAACCAATCCCCAACAAAACCTGGTGGGAGGTGGGTGAAGTGGGGGGTGGGAGGTGGGGGTGGTGGGAGGTGTGAGGTGGGGTGGGAGGTGGGAGGTAGGTGGACGGTAAGTGCGAGGGTGGGAGGGCGGTGTAGGGGAGGTGGGAGGGGGTAAACCACGATTGTGGGCGGAGGTGTGCATCAACGCAAGCACGAGACAAACCAGGTGCGATAGGAGGTGGGAAGTGGGAGACGAGGAAAGCGGGAGGTGTGGGTGGGAGACAGGCACATCCCCGAAGACAACGCCAACCGTACCGAACCCAACCGTGACACTCATGTTGAATCAAATTTCAGTATCGAAAACAGGCAGGAGCGCGGAGTCTCAAAATTTGACTAAGAATCCAGAAAGTTCGAAGCCGTGGCCACATCTGCCTGTAGATTGAAAGATTGAAAAGCGAGGTTCAACGTTCGAAAGCACGCTTCCAATTTTCGTCGATTGAAAATTTGGAGCACGAACACTTCTTTATTGAACCGTTCACTGATGTAACGTTGACGCGGACCTGCGCAAATTGAGGTGTGCTGTATGGCGATGTGATGGGATGTCTGGGGTCTGGACGGGTGTGGTGTTTAGCGTGCCAGAATAGCTTACACCCGGTGTGCGCAACCTTATTTTTGAAACGAAGCAAAAAAAACGCTCAAATGCACTTCCTTTTATCAAGGGCGGGCTGAAATATGCAATCAACCGTCATTGCAGCGCCTACTGGAGGGCCGGGCTCAAGATATGAGATCCACTGCCATTGTCGAACCACACTTGGGACAACCGGTTTCTTTCGTGCACCAGTCTTACCGACAGTAATAAGCGGTCCCTGTGTTCAGCGGCAACTGCTGGCTATGAAAGGGGCGTACGCCATTCAGATGAATGCTCAGACCAGCCACGCAGGAAGGCAGCTGCTCTGTCAGACGTGAGCCCGGGCGCACCGGGACTGGCTCCTCGAGCAAAGCCGGCCGCCCTCCAGCAGCAGAGGCTCGCAGGAAGCTGGGAGGTCGAGGAGCGAAGCTGCGAATGCGCTCTGAGTGGTGACTGCCTGCATGCGGCTCCAGCCGGCCGGTGCGCTGAGAGCCTTCGCTCACCCAAACAGGCGTATGAATGATGCGGCCTCCTCGCTCCAATGCCCGCCGGTTTCGATGCCGAACACGGGAGCTCGGGGTAGGTCCCCCTCGCTCAGCGCGAGCGAGTACAACGCCTGGTCGAAGGTCAGCACGAGGATGAGGGCGGTGAAACGATTGTGGCATCGATTGCGAGCTGCGCACTGTGCCACAGTGTAAAGCCATCGCAGACTACTTCCATGCGCTGGCCGTTATTAACCGCAAGCATGTCCGCGACGAGGGTCCCAGTGCAACTTTACCGGGCGGGGCAGAGTCCCAGTCGGCAAGGAGCTCGTGCAGGTCGGGCTGGGGGCCATCTCCGAGCTCAGTTACAAAAAAACCCAAGGAGAGGCCGCGAAGGCGCGCTGGGCGGCGACAGCCGGGAGGCCGGACCAGCGAGTAACCCAAGCAGTGATGGCCGACGGCCGGCGAGGCGGACGTTGCGAGCTACCCCTCGCTGCTGAAGGGGCGCGCGCGCGCACAGGACGCCAGAGGTGGCGCACGCGGAGCGGTGGTCGCTGTGAGGGTCTGCCCGAGGGAGGTGGGGTTGTAACACAACGGTAAATCTACTCATCCGATATGGCAGTATCTTTTTTCTCCGCATTATTGTTTGTCAGGAGGAGTAGTAAGAGTAGTAGTAGTAATAGTAGTAGTCGTCGTCGTCGTCGTCGTGGTGGTGGTGGTGGTGGTGGTGGTGGCAGCAGCAGTAATAGCAGCAGCAGGGGGAGGAGGAGGAGTAGCAGTAGTAGTAGCATGGGCAAGCGGAAGAGTAGGTGTGGTGGTACTAGCAGTAGCAGTAGCCGTGAGATCCGAAAGTTTACTTCCCGAGGGCTGGACACTTACAAAAAAACCCCAACATCTACTTCTAGTACATCACTAAAAATGTCAAAGTTTAATACTCAAGTGCTTTTACACCTTTAGACTAATTTTACACCTTTAAAGCCTTATATATTCCCTAGATTTTAGGATTTGCCAATATGCTTTACGTATGCGATGGTGGTACCAGAGGACTTTTACTTGAACGATGACGTGGTACTCTTAGTTCAAGAATTCCTTGTTGACGTATGGCAGAAGCATATTGTCAGGTGGCATGCGGGGGGGGACTTGGAGGACAAGAGACGTAACTTTCCTACGCGGGAGATTACTGAACGAGGTATTGTGGAGAATGGGCATTTGCTGGCACCGCGTACTGAGGGCGGCTTTTGGTGCCGTTTATGTGGGAAGTTTACCTCCAATACTCAGCATGTTCGACTCAAGATTACGAGCAAACCGTGCACACAACGAGGTGGCCCTGTTTTGGCGTCTGAAGGTTTTCTGTCCAACGACAACCGGCTCGACCAACTGGAGCGGGAACTCAACATGAAATATAATCGAGCCAAACATCTGCTTCACTGGAACCGCAAACTTGGCAAGACTATAGGCGCACCGGATGAGGGATGGCTTCAATGTCTAAGGTGTGGGAGAAAGTGGGACCGCACCTCTAACCTACCACGTGCTCTATGTTCTATGTGGCGTGCTGCCAAAAGCAAAGTTTCGTATCACCAAGAAGACAGCTTTATCCAAGTTACCGCGAACGCGGTACTTTTCTGAACGTGCTGATGCCAATTTATCTTTTGATGATGTTCCACATCTGGATCCCCCGCGGGTTGGGGTAGGATGAGTTTTCACCGGTGACGAGCTCATGTGCGGCAGGCTATGCAGCTCGTTCAAAACACCAACTTTTACTATCCCGAAGGCTTTAAACCTGCACAACCTGAAATGAAACCTACTGCGAGATCGTCACCTGGGCACCTGCGCGACCCCCCGCACGACAGTGCCCAAGAGCGGCTGAATATGCGGGAGTCTCAAAGTAAAAAAAGGCGCCTGTAGCTGTACT